TCACAATTCCTGTTTTGTAATGCACTTGTAGAGTGAGGTACGTGTACATAAGGTGTATTCTGTGGTAGACACGTAGACTGAGGAACATATAAATAAAGTGTATTCTGTGGTTGACACATATTAGATGTTACATGTGAATGAAAAGATTTTCTTCTGTCTTCCCATGGGGTGCACATGGATTCAATGTCACGTTAACAGTTTCTTTTGTTTCTGGCTTATCACTTGCATGGAAATCATCTTTTAGAGATTCTTCTAACTCCAAATTCCTCAAAACACTTTTCTCCATTTCCTCAATAATTTTGGTTTTGGGATCAGTTATTTTAATTCTGTTTCAATTTCCAGTTCTTCCTCTTTAAGTTTCAGTTGTAATTTAGCTTCTTCTAATTCCTTTTTCTTTGGCAATGCTGAAGCTCTGGCAATGAGTTCTGCTTTTCTTTGTTGTTCTTTCAATTTTTCCATTGAAAGATGACTTGAAGAAGAACTTATGCTGAGTTTAGATCACACCGATTCGTTTTCCGGTGTTGTGTGTTGTAATAACCATTCTTCAACACATTCTTTCAAATCTGTGTATCTTTTGTTCCGTGATTGAAAATTCTCATCATCCAGGATTTTCTCGCTTGGTGTCAAATACAACAGTTTTTGGTATTCTTCATGTGACACAATCAAGTCCTCATATATTTGCATCCACTTCTTATACTCATTTTTTACTGTATCTTTGTTTGGATTTTCCAGTAGTAACTGTTCTATGTTATCACTTACTTTTGACAGTTTCCTATCACAACTTCTTCTAAACTTTAACTTTTCTTGCACATGGTAAGCAGGTCCTTTCTCGGTCATCACTCTGCGCCTCTGTCCTAACTGCTCTTCTGTATCACTTTCTTCTGTATCACACATGGCTGTTGATGTTACTTATTCATAAATGTTGTACTGCTCAATGCCCAGAGAAGAAAAATTCTTGAAAATGTGTATGTCTTTATTATCATCAAGTACATTCACATCATACAATTGACAGCATACAATCATACATCATACGATTGACAACACAGGATCATACGATTTACATGTACTGTAAAGTAAATAAAATAAAATATTGTAAACAAAAAATTCTTGTAACACAATGCAATGCAAATAAACAGAGGCAATTCGGACTAGCAAATTGGCAATGCCAAGGCAATTCAGACTAGTAATATACACCAAAATATATCCTATCAGTATCACAGATTATAATTACCAAAAAGGAATACTTTATAAGTTTACATACTATTATATGAGTATGCATAAAAATATCCAACTTTCATAATTCATGTTTGCAACCAAATATGAGAGTTATTGCCCTTGAGATACAAAGTTTAAGCCAAATGCATTTAAAAATCCTAAACAATACATAAGCAGACCTATCAATGAATCTTATAAATAATCTAAAAATTACTGTGTTCAATATAATAAATCTATAAATGTAGTTTTACATAATAAAGTAATGATAAATGAATACCCGACTATGTAGACCATTATCAGATATCAAAAATACAGTTTCATAAATAAAATTAACAAAATGCATACATATACATATGAGTGTGCTGGTATTTAAATAATTGGTTACCGAATAAGTAATTTCTCCACATTTCCAGAGATACATTGAGTTCAGTACAGACCAGAGAATGTTAAAACTGTACAACAGCTTTCAAGCGAATTTCACTGCCCAGATTAAAATTTTTGAGCAGATTTCTTTTCAAGTACTTCAGTGTCCTATATTAAACAGAAATGCATAGAGGATGTTTCTAGTATGTTTCATTGTACCAGTCAAGGTTTCAGATGCTGCAATTGCAACTAAAGAATGACCAGGTTAATGTTTTTGGAGCAGGTTAAAGTTTTTGGAGCAGGTCAAAGTTTTGGGAGCAGGTCTCATTTCCTGGTAACTATAAGCCCTACATTGACAAACTTGCATTGATGATACATCTAAGGATTTTCATGGATAATACATCTAAGGATGCACTTTACTTGGACTTGCTTCAGATGCTGGATCTGACCTTCATTTTCTGGACAAGTGACCAGGTTAAAGTTTTTGGAGCAGATCTCATTTTTAAGTCACTATAAGCCCTATATTGACTAAACTTGCAAGGATGATACCTCTAAGGATGCACACTACTGAACTTGCTTCAGATGTTGGATCTGACCTACATTTTCCAGATGAGTGACCGGGTTAAAGTTTTTGCAGCAGGTAAACAGAGAAAAAACCAAACCAAGAACCAAGAGAACTTTAAACCAAGAAACTTTTAGGGCTATCTGAACCAAACCTGCAAGGATGATGCATCACAGGATGAACACTTTCAAACTTGCTTCAGATGCCAAATTTGACTTATAAAGTCTAAATGAGTGACCAATTTAAAGTTTTTAGTTAAGTTATTCGGTGGTAAGTCCATCTCCTAGTAACTTCAAGCCCTATCAGATCAAAATTTCATAAGTGTTACATCTGGAGATGCACACAACTAGATTATTACTTTGCCTTACTTAAGGACAACATTCAATGAGGTAATCTCTGTAATCTCTGATTACCTCACATTGCTTCACATTTTACTAGAGAAACAAATGCAATTGGAAAAGTTACATACGTAAATTATTCTGGATTTTGATCGTGCGCTGACAGACCATATCGGCATTTTCCTAACTTTACTTTGAAAGGTATATATTTAAGAATTCAATTTTTAAAGGAAGATTGAATAAATTATGGCTATGCAAAATTTGGTCAGTATTGGTTGAAAGTTTACAAAGATATATACATTGTCTATGACTTTTTGGGACAACCCTCATTTGTAGCCTGAAGTCATTGATGGAAACAGAAATTGGCAAGCTTTTTGTAAAGACTAAAATTAACCCTGGTCCTATAGGTTGGCGCCCCATTTACGAGGAAGTGTTCCTTTAGTGGTCTCTTCATGCCATGAAAACAACAAAATTAACCTCCATAAAAATTAATGGTTTCACAGTATTCTTTTCTGGCATACTTCCCAACCTCAAATGTTAAAAGGGGGTCATGACCCTCTTTGAAAAGGAAAAAAAAAATCTGGTTATAACATGTAACAACATATTTACCCAATTATATTTTATATTTCAAATTGCATATATACAGAAACACTTTTGTATTTAAAAATATTTTATTGAAAAGAAGTTTAGTAACTTACAATGGCAAAATTTGAGTTTTTCATGAATCTATTTCATTGATTAAATTTAAATGATAGAAGGGCTATTGAGGTGTTATTGTTTAGTATTGACCTGAAATAATTGTGTATTTTTCTTTTTAACTATACTGAAAGCCCTTTAGTATCTGCATTGCAGTTTGGAAGAACAAGCCTAGGAAAGTTTTAGCTAATTTTGAAAGTAGTAAAATCAGGGACCTTTAAATGTCCCTGTTCAAATCTTGGTTTTGGACCTCAAGATAATTTTTATCTCCAGATGTAAAAAAAAATTAAGACATTATGTACAGTTAGTCTCATATAATCCACGAAGCAATGCAGTCTGACTAAAGCCAGCCCCTACTATTTCACTTCCTATGAACAAAGTGAAATAGTAGGGAATGGCTTTAGTCAGCAAGGTATTGTGTCAAAACCAGGAGTGCTTTTGATAAAGCATACTCCTGTATAAAGCATAGGTTTATCTAATGGGTAGTACCCACCACACATATGAGAAAAAATTGCAAAACAACTGACTATTTAATAAGACATAACTTGTGTGTTTTTAGCTCTTCTGAACCATTGATAAAAAATTACATTGTATTAAAATGTTGATATTTTGCTTAATAGTATAAGGACTAGGATCATCAAATCTTGTCAGTCAGTTGATGCATCTAAGGACCTCATATCATGTTGACTCAAAAGTAGGTCACGGTGATCTACTTTTTAAATTTTGTGACCATTCTTTTTCAAAATGATCATCAAACTTTGTCAGTTGATGCATCTTGGGTCCTTGGAGTACGTTGACTAAAAAGTAGGTCACCTTAAGCTACATCTTGAATTTTATGGCTTATCTTTTTCAAAACAATTAAGGTCATTAATTTGAATACTAAGAGGTATAGAATCATTAAATCTTGTAAGATGATGCATCTTGGGGCCATAAAACATAATAATATAGTACATGTAGGTCACAGTGACCTACTTTTTGAACTTTGCAAGCATTCGATTTCAAAGTGTTTTAGAGGCATATTTTGGACATTTTAAGGCCTATGATCACAAAACTTTGTAAGTTGATGCATCTTGGGTCTTCGAAAGACGTCAACTGAAAAGTAGGTCACCTTGACCTACTTTTCAATTTATATGACTATAATTAAATATTTCAGGTACTAGTTGGCTTAAAATCATCAAATTTTGTCAGTTGATGCATCTGAACCTGATGCAGAAGTCATTCTGAGAAAGATTTTTGGTTCATGTAAGACCACTTTTTTATTAGTTGTTTATCAACACTTTATCCCAAAAATTGGGTCAGTAGGTCAGGAAAAAATAAAATATAAAGACAAAAATTTTAATCATTACCCCCTTTCCCCCTTCCCCCTGAAATTAAAACTGCATGCCACTTATCAATACATGACTAGTCTGTCTTATGTTTTAATATCCATTTAAAAAAAAAAGAAAAGAAAGAAAAAAAAGAAAAAAAATTTAACTCTAAAAAAATTTGGTCAGTTGGTTTTGAAAAATGACTAAAAAAAAAAAAATATAGCCTGAGCTTCTCTCTATTTCTGCATTGAAAATTGGTGATAATTTCAAGAAAAAACAAATTGCTTACAAGAGTATCAGACTCTGAATAGATAGATATGATTTATACGGTAACTTAAACACAGTTTATCCGAAACATGCTATGTTCTGTTTTAACCATTACTTGGAGAAAAGTGAGCCTTATATTGGAGCAAATCATTCTCATGGGGATGGTTATGATTTTATTCATATTCATCCCTATGGAGGAGTAATCACTGACGTATTTTTCTCACCCTGCTGTGCTGTGTTATTATTTTATAGAACCTATTCGCATATGGTGATAAAGATGGTATTGGGATTGATGCAAAGTTACAGCATCCTCTTGGTGTTGCCATGATACCCGACTCTAGTTCTCTTTTGGTTGCAGACTCTTACAACCATAAGGTAAATATAATGATCTTTATCAATTGAAAAACAGTATTTTACCTTATCTGAATCATTTTTCTGATCAAAGTATGCATGCTATCTCTCTGTTGTTTCTTGTCGCTTGTTATAAACTGTTTACCTTGAACGAGGAAAGGGGTATAGAGCACTTAGTATACCAAATGGCCTACAAAATAGCACATTTAAAAACATCCAAAATATTCCATTATTTTATGATATTAAGTATGAGGGTTGTCCGCAAAGTTTGTGGACAACCTTGATAGTAACTGACAAACATTGATAAAATATATGAAACTATTATTTTCATTAAATTCATGTCTCATTTTATTAATATGCAAGTTTTCATCACAAACAAAGCACAAATACATTGTAGTTTTATTTAACAGATACAAAAAAAGACACACACTCACACCAGGAGGACTAAATTGAAAATTCTTGATTCCCAAAGTCAAAAGCTAAATACATTTAACTTTTCTCAACGTACTCACCGTTTAACTCAACACATTTCTTATGTCATATTAACCAGTCATCAAAAATTTGCACAAACTGTTATGGTTTCATACGTGAAATAATATTTAACAGTTCCTGTCTCAGATCCTGCAAATAATTATACCTCTGTCTTCTAGGGCTGTGCGGTGCACCGAAAATTTCGGTGCACCGTGGTTCATACTGTTCGATTCGGTGCACCGATCCAGAATTCCAGAATTCGGTTTGGTTCAGTTAAAAATTTACATAACATGTATATATAAAAATGGCCGCCAATTGGAGATCAGAAGTGTTTGTTTTCATGATTTTAATACTTCTTATAATGATTGTGCCAGTTTGAAGTCAGTGATTATTTTTTTTTATTCCATAAACACCCTTTACTTTTACAATAAAGGTTAGTTTAAAGGTGCTTAGACACAGATTTGAAGTTAGTATTTACTCAAATTTTCTGTATAATTTCATGACTTATATGTTGCTATAGCATCTCATACGAAAATTTGATAAAAATCTTATTTTATCTGGAAGTTATTGAAACTTCGAATTTCTGGACTCGTTTGGTAGACACATCCTTGCGCTTTCACAAATTTTAACTTTATCCTTATTACTTTAGTTAAGTGGCAATTTTGTTGTTTATTAATGAAATATATTAAAACTATAATGCAGAAATTTCAGAGTAGAAATGTAGAAAGCAAAATCCTCTCACCAGTATTGTCAGTCCGTGCTCAGTGGTGTGTGCAGAGTTTAACAATTGAACACACCCGGTGAAACGTAAACATTAACAACAACAGAGCTCGTGCCTTGTTTACAAAAACAGTTTACGTTTCACGGGTGTATTCAATTTGTTAAACTCTGTACACAACTACACAACACTGAGCACGGGCTGACAATACTTAAGTGAGTGGCTTTTGCTTTGGCACATTTTTACTCTGAATTTTCTGGATAATAGATGTAATATTATTCATTAATACACAACAAAATTGCTACTTTTCTTAAGTATTAAGGATAAAGTTAAAAATTGTGAAAGTGCAAGGATGTGTTAATCAAACGCCTCCCGAAATCCGTAGTTTCAATAATTTCCAGATTAAATAAGTTTTTTATCTTATTTTCGTGTGAAATGCTATAGCAACATATAAGTTGTGATATTATTGAGAAAATATAAACTTCAAATCTGTGTCTAAGCACCTTTAAATTGCTATGGGCTAGTAAATAGTCCGACGGCCTAGTGAAAAAGTAGCAGGTATTTTCCAAGTTTTGCTTTTATATCCCCAACCAATGAAAAAAATCAAAGAAGTGTGGTTCTCTTGTTCATATCTCTTCTATCTTATTCTTTTAGTACTTCTACATTATTTATTTATTTCTAAAAACCATGAAAACGATCGTCTTTTTTCTACTAACCCGAATTTCCTCCATTCTGATTTTATGGAAAATACATGTAGATATCACATTAATTGATTCAATTATTTCCAGCTACTCAACTAATTAACTGAAGATTTACAAGGGTTATCAAAAATATATTAACATTGTGTCTGAAAATTTGAATTAAAAAAAAATAAATCACCTAGCTTTCACTTCATATTGGAAGAGGAAGTCCAATGATCAGAAAAAAAGATGAATGTATACTACCATGTTAAAAGGTATCTATAGCATGATTGTTCATTCTGTTAAATTCAGCCTTAAATAATTTCTCTGATTATTTATTTATCATTGACTCAGAAGAAAAATACAAAATGAGAAAAAAAGCAGAAGAAATATGAAAAGAAGAGTAATTCATTATGAAATGAAATAAAATAATACAACAAAAGGTTTCAAATTTTATTATTTTTCTGGGCTAGTAGAAATTTTACTTTAGCTAGTAAAAATGTCAAATCAACTAGCCTCACTTGTTAGTGTCTCAGAAAAGTTTTTGTGAAGACTGGCGTAAAGGATTTTAATCACTTTTTAAAGCAGAGGTTATCATTTTTCATTTATGATGAGAAATATTTAGACTGTTTTAGGTTAAATCGAACCGAATCGAAAAAAAACAAACCGTATCATTCTGAACCGAAACCGAACCGAATCGATTGAACCCTGAATCGTCCCAGCCCTACTGTCTTCGTAAAAACGATAACAATCACGTCACAAACTTCATTTTTTACAGCACTGCAATCTCGGAAAGATGGTCTTCTTTCATGCATGTCACCTTCCGTCCGAAAAATCTTCTATGCCACTTAAACACTAAAGAACAACTTACTGAACTATGTTTTCCCGACTGTTTAAGAAATTTATGGGTGTCTGTTGGTGTTTTTCTGATGTCTACACAAAATTTTATCACTGCTCTCTGCTCCATCTTTTCCAAAAACGTCCTTTTTCGAACAATGGCGATCCTGTCTTAATAGATTCTAACCTTGATTTCTCTGCCATTTCGAAACTTTGAACATTCAAATTTTACAGGTTTGACGCTAAAACTTTTATCAATGTCATAATGTGAAAGTCATCCATATTTTTGCAGAATTTTACAAAATACAAATGAAGTCTATAAATGATAAATAACTTTTTAACTAAAACTTTGCCATGCTTCAGGTCACCATCCCAATTAAGTCTAATAATGAAGTCATAAATGTAATCATACATTTAAAATTGAATAAAATTTTATATTTTGTAATTCACATATAGTAAAGGATTATAAATATGCTAGTAATAAAAAGGTGTTACACAACTTTTATTTAAACTATAGCTTGTCCACAAACTTTATGGACAACCCTCATAAATCTAGCTATACACAAATACAAATTATATATACCAGTACCTGGCAAAAATAGACATAATTATCTAAAACAAAATGAATGAAATTTACAGAATTTAATATATGGGATAAATGGAGAACTATCGAGTGAGCATTCAAAAACTTAAAATTAATATGTATTTTTACCAACTTAAACCAGAGACATCTTGAAGGGGTTGTGCACTTTTGATATCATAGTATACTGTCTTTTTGGTTAAACATGGTCTTCATATTAAAATTTTTTTATATACCTCAGTTATACCTCAGTTATCCTATTTTCCTGGACTCTAACTTTGTTAAAAGTCTGTGTAGCTAAGTGGTGTACGCTGAACTGCTTGTTTTTGTGTTTGAGGTCTCAGGATCAAGACCCCCAAATTATATATATATATATATATATATATATATATATATATATATATATATATATATATATATGTATGAGTGCCGTCATGAGAAAAGGGCCCTTAAGGTCAAAATTTCACAAATTGACTTTTTGTTAAATTATGATAGCCTGACTCTTTCTGAATACAAATATACATCAATTTTTAAAATATCTCACTTTATCAGTATTTTATGAGCATTTTAGTAAGGCCGCTTCAAAACAACGTTGACGTTACTTACTGAAAACGTAATGACGTCGTGTGCGTCAAATTCAGTTACCAAACATTCTTTTAAAAACTACACTTTTTAAACAACCTTAATCGTTTTGACTAATATAAACTTGAGAATTTTTTTTTCTTCCAAGCAACTAGTATGTAATTATTCATGAGGGAAGTCGCATACTATTTTCATACTATATTAGACAAGTTTAGTAATTTCGTGAAGGGTGGGGTGGGGGTCTAGACAGGATATAGGAACGGTTTTTATTCAGTCGAAAAATTAAAACTTGTTGAATTCCACATCATAAGGTATTCTTTTTAAAATTCCTACTCTAGCTCAAGATTATAAAAGATATAAAGCACTTGTAATATTAAAATATGAAAAAATCTATATAGATGTCCCAGAAGGGCACCTCGTGCAATTAAAGCGGCGCACCCCTCGCGAAAGAGCACATCGATCCCGATAAGAAAAAATATTTTCGGATATAAGCACGCATTCACTCACCCACATACACGCATGTTACTTTATCCCGTATAACTTTGTTACGAAGGGATAATAATATCTCGTGTTTTTTCTGTATCACCAAAAAATTCTAACGGGAAATAAATTCAGATATGCTATGATGTGTAAACTTTTTTTTCTTTTTTTAAGTTTCATTAAGTTTAAAAAAAAATCATAATTAAAAAAAAAAAACTACTTCCAAGGGGATTTTTTTTAGTTAGCTGTTTCTTAATTCTTTAATAAAAATGATTAAAGAACTAAGTTTCCATTGTTTATACAATTCAATTTCTTCGCCTGTCTTAGTTATGGAGAAGAAGCAAAACAAAGAGGCACATAACGATGTCATAGGATTGTATTATGAACGTTTATTCTGTACATGAAAATTTAATTTTTTGTCAACTACTTACTTTTTTCAGTAAATCACACTTAATCAAAAGCGGTTAAAAATGTTTCTGTCCTTTTTTTTTAATTTTGAGGCACCTGTCCCCTCGACGCTACTGCTGTATCACTTGAACACAACAAGTATCGTTCATCATTTCTTAAAAGGGCCGCTAATCTAAAAAAAAATAACAACCTGATATTCATACAAACTAAATGGACTTTTCTGATGAAATGAAACACAGTTGCATTACAATTTTTATGAAATCTATTT